CTGCGAATGGCTGCCAGGGAAGGGCCTCGCTGTAGCATCGCTGGTGATGATCTGCCCAAAATGCGAGCTCGGGCCAGTGCTGTTCAGTGGCTGACTTGTATGCGTGCAGTTGACTCCATTCCAGGTGACATGGGAAGCGTCCGCCTGAGGATAATCCAGTCCATTTTCATAATTGTACTTGGTTTTCACCAAAAGGTTCCTCGACCATATTAAAGAAGCACTACGAAACATGCCCTCCTTCTTAAGGTTAATTTGATACCGTTCGTCACCTTAGCCAGGTACGTGTCTTTTTTTTTTTAATGTTTTATTTATTTATTTCTGAGAGAGAGAGTGAGAGACAGCGTGAGCAAGGGAGGGTCAGAGAGAGAGAGACATACAGAATCTGAAGCAGGTTCCAAGCTGTCAGCACAGAGCCCGATGCGGGGCTCAAACCCACAAACCGTGAGATCATGACCTGAGCCGAAGCCGGACGCTCAACTGACTGAGCCACCCAGGCACCCCCAAAAAGTACAGGATTCTTTAGAATCTTAATATAGATTAACGTGGCAGGTTAAGGAGTCTTGAAATATAGGTCACAGCTCAGGAAAACCAGTGGCTGCAGAATTTCAGCAGTAAATTAGTTAAGCTCATGCGCGTCCCCCTGTGCTGATGGCGGTGGATAGTTTTACATTCAGCAGGAGCAGGCGATTTAATTTTCCGTTCATTAACCCCTTTACTCCTTTATCAAGCTTTACTGAGCACCTTGAGGGAAGTTTTTTCTAAATAGCTTTATTGAAGTCTAATTTACATACCATACAAATCTACCTCTCGTAAGTGTACAGTGCAGTGATTACTTTTACAGTGAATTTATAGAGTTGTGCAGCCATTAACACCATACAGTTTTAGAGGATTTTCATTACACCAGAGTTTTCTGTTGTGCCAATGGATAGTCTATCCCTGATTCCAGCGTTAGAAAACCACTAATTGACTTTTGGTTTCTATATATTTATCTTTTCTCGGCATTTCATGGAATCCTACAATGTGTGGTTTTTTGCGTCTGACTTCTTTCCCTTAGCATGATATTTTCAAGGCTCATCTTCGTTGAAGCCTGTGTCAGTACTTCACTCCTTTGTATTGCTGAACAGTATTCTCCTGTATCGATACACTGCATTTTACGTATCCGTTCATTTGGTAAACACTTGTGTGCATAAAAACTTGAAGTAATTTTTTTTGACTGGTGCTTTTTATTTAAAAATTTTAATTATTTATTTTTGAGAGAGAGAGAGAGAGAGAGAGAGAGAGAGTGAGCGAGCCAGGAAGGGGTAGGGGGAGAGGGAGACACACAGAATCCAAAGCAGGTTCCAGGCTCTGAGCTGTCAGCACAAAGCCTGACATGGGGCTTGAACTCACCAACCACGATTGTGACCTAAGCATAAGTCAGACATTTAACTGAGACACCCAGACGCCCCTTAATTTTTTTTTTTTTTAATTTTAGAGAAAGAGCAGGAGTGAGGGAGAGGGGCAGAGGGGCAGGGGCAGGAGGGGGGAGAGAGAGAGAGGGAGGGAGGAAGGAAAGGAGGGAGAGAGAGAGAGAGAGAGAGAGAGAGAAACACCCCTGCAGGTTCCACGCTTAGTGTGGAGCCTGATGTGGGGCTCAATTCCATGACTCTGGGATCATGACCTGAGCTGAAATTAAGTGTTGGATGTTCAACTGACAGTCACTCAGGCGCCCCTTGATGGTGCTTTTAAAAATATGAAAATAGGGGCGCCTGGCTGGCTGAGTCGGTTAAGCGTCTGACTTCAGCTCAGGTCCTGATCTCACAATTTGGGAGTTCAAGCTCTGCTCCCAACCCCACTTGGGCTCTGTCTCTGTCTCTCTCAAAAGTAAACATTAAAAAATTTAAAAATATATGAAAACATTTGCTGTTAAGTCCCCCCTACTTAATTAAAAACATGCCCAATTCCCTGACTTACAGTAGAAGTTAGACGTGAGGAAATGCCATGGAGGCAGCCAGCCCACCACAGTGATGCCAGAAAGCATTTGGCAGAGAGCATTCTGGGAAATAGGAGAGACCAAGCTGAGGAAATAAAGAGCCCCACTAAGCAGGTGCCCCTTTGTTTTGTAGGAATTGTCATATAACTGAGTAAAGATGAGAAGCTAGGGAAGCTTTAGGGTGACAAGGTTATAAATCAGTGTGTGTAATGTGTCCCCCATGCACTAAAGAGGTATAGATGCCTGTGGTTGGACAAGTGTGTTCTGCTTGATTCAACTGACTTGGGTTTGAAACACAGATTGTACAACATCTCCTGAGGTGCAGCTCTTGGCTAAATGTACATCAGGTCTGTATTCTGAGTCCCCCAGGGGAGGCACCTTTTTGAGCACAGTTCCCACAATAGCCAGGCATTGTGGTAGGTGCTGGGACAATGCAGATGCATGGGGCATGGTCCCGGGTGTCTGGGAGCTCACGTTAGCGAGAGTCGACAGCTCTGGGAAGCAGATCATTAACAGAGAGTTTGGTCAAGTGCCGTCCTAGAAAGAAACTCAGAATGAGGAATCACTCCGGAAGACTTCCTGGTGGAGGGCACCCTTGAGCCAAGTCTTGAATGACCAGTAGGTACCAGCTCAGGGAGAATGGGGAAGTTAAAAGGGGACATGGGGAGGGTGACCAACAGAATGGCCTTTGGCGAGGCAGTCCTCATAATGAATTAATTATAGGATTAGCAACCCCTGTGGGTTTTCTGCTGCATTAGGTTGATTGGGGCATGTCTGCATCTGGAAGGTAATATTGATGATGTAACCTGAGCCTTGGGGACTGGGCTGGTGCTGTTCACCGGCATTCCATTCCCTTTAGGGGCCAGATATTATCTAGGGTTGGTGGGGCAGTTACTGATTTGTGCATTAGAACCAAGCAAAGGGATTGTTGATATAGTTATTATATTTGCTGATGATTTGTCTAGACATGGTGCAGGGTTTTTGGTTTATTCCTCCTGAGATAGAGCTTTGGCTGGGCTCCATTTTTCTGTGCCTCTTTCGGCTTCTGTGGAATTTAGATAGTTTTGTTAGGTATCCCAGCTTTCAGGAAGCCTGGGTAAATTTGTAGAGGACTGGCATATGCACATCTCACATTTAAGGGTAACATCTGCCCAGCAAAGAGGGTTGTTTCGTGTGGGGGAGTATTCTGGGACTCCCAGTTCACGATTAATTGCTCATTTCCCTGCCCACCGAGAAAGGATTTAGGGAGCGTGCCCTATGTACCAGACACTGAGCCAGTTGCGGGAGAGCCGGGGTAGGAGCTGGAAGCCAGTGCAGTTGAGGACAGGTGTTCAGTTTGGGATGCCACGTAGGTTTCTTTCCCGTGGGGCCAGCTTTGATCATCGGCAGCGGTAGCCTAGAATGCTGGGATGGATTAGTGATTTCTCTCTGGAGCACAGCCCGGAGAGTGAATGTATGAGTGCTGTGTACTTACCGACCCTCTGTGAGGGGTTTCTGGTGCAGGCAGAAGACTTGAGTAAAAGTGGGGTATGGGAAAGAGAGGACATTTGTCGTAGAATAAGCGTGTTTGTTTTGGTATGGGGTGTATTGGAAATTACCTTGGATCAGTTTGGGGGTGGGTGGGGCTGGAGTACAGATGTTGTTAATTATGTACTTATACTGCTGCTTATTATGGACTCATGATACTGTCTCTGAAATGTCTTTAGCCTTTTTTTTTAGGTGTAAAATGGAGGTAATATCACCTATATCATAATGTTGGCGGGAGGAGCTAATGAAATAATGGCTATGAAAATATTTTACTACCCACAGAGCAATAAACTCTTGGCGTATTATTGCTACAGGTGTGGAGGTGTGTGGATCAGGAAATGCCTGAAGTTAGGCAAGGTTGAGCCAGATGGTGATGGCCTCAGGGCCTTTGCACTGGGTCCCTCTGCCCAGCCTGCTATGTCTTATCACATCCAGGTCATAACTCCAAGGTTACCTCCATTCAGGCCACAGAATTTAAGCTTGTGCCTGCCCTGTCTCCACCTACCACCTCGCCTTGTTATTTTTATCAAGGTTCTCACAACTGAAATGGTCTGCTTACCTTATTTGTGTATGTCCCTCTGTTAGAACCGTGCAGATGTGGTGAGGTCTATAGAGACCTTGGTATCTCTTTGTATCCTCAGAGCCTAGATTAGTAGAGCCTGGCACATTGGAGTTCAGGATTTCTTAACATAGCGTTGTATGAGTGAATGGAAGGGCCTCTGAAGTCCACAGACCCAATGGGCCTTGGGGCCCAGGAGCCCTGGGATGGTTGTTAAGAATACCACGTAGTAGCTGTGACCTCCTCTCTTTGCCAACATAATCTTGAAACTCCTATTTCCTTGGTTATTGAGAAATAAATTTAATTGAATCCACGGTAGTTGTAACTTAATTGAAAATTCTTTCCATCAGCTCTGGATCTGACTTCACAATGTAATCTCTTGTAACAAAATAAAGAACAAGAATCAGAATTCATATTATTTTTTTAGTGTATGTAACAGGCCATGAAATTATACAGTGTTCCCAATTTGGCAGGCTGGTGCATTCAGTCTCTTGAAAGATAATCTAATTCCTTAAAGTACATGTGATGTGAATTAGAGTTGGAACTTGTGAATTGGATACTATTAGCAGCCAGCCCCTCCCCAAGCCTAACTGATCTGTTTTTAAATTGGATTTTATTTTTTTCCCCCTCTGCTGGCTGGCACCAATTCCATTTCCCTTGTTTATTGTGAATTGTTACCATGCTTTCAGGAGCCTGATGAATATGGCCAGACATTGTGGGGCTTCCTGGACTTACGTGAAATAAACAAAAAGGGGGAGAGGTGTGTGGAGAGGCCCCAGTCAGTTCAGTGTCCACAACCTGCCTGCCAGTCCCAGTGTCCGGAGTGTTCCTTCCCGCTGAGCTTAACAACTGCTGACACCCCCCGTCCCTGGCGGTGCTGGGGCTGCCCTGGGTGCCCGCTGCCTTCACAGGTGGACTGATGAATCCCTGGTTCTCTCGCAGGGTGACCTGTCTGTGTGCCCAGTTTGAGGCCGTCCTGCAGCATGGCCTGAAGAGGACCCGGGGACTGGCGCTAACGGCGGCCGCGATCAAACAGGCAGCAGGCTTCGCCAGCAAAACAGAGACAGGTACTGCTCGGCCTGGTGCAGCGCAGAGGGTGTGGTCTTTTCTGTTGCCCTCCTTTTAATACAAAGTTTTCATTTATTTTTTAATCGTGTGGGACGGGGACGGGGGGAGCGTGGTGGTGCAGAAATCCACGAGTGAGGATGTCTTAACCGTAGTCGCTAGTGGCGTTGTCCTTCGCGGAACCCTCAGGGCCCCGGTTTGCGGCCTCTGGGGGCTCGGGGTGCTGCAGCCAAGGTCGCTGGCAGCTGCCGGGAGATCAGTGATGTGCTCTAATTCTGTGCATGGGGACAGCATGACATTTCATGGTCCAGTCTGTCTTCAGCAGCAGCAACAGCAGGTCTCTGTGCTTGCGGCTCTGCTACCATCCGTTTTCGTGTTGCCAGAGCGTGTCCTTGCCGTGTGCTGCGCTCCCATGGGTCTCACTGGTGGGGACAGCACTGATATTGAGGACTAACACAAAGGAGTAGTGTGCGCAAGCCCGGAACCAGACTAACCAGTCGTTAGTCATTTATGTAAATTAGCTCATTCGGTGTTCCCCCCTCCCCCTACCCGCAGCCTTGTGAGTAGTAGAGGCTTTATTTTTCCCACCGGGCAGATGAGGAAACTGTTCTAAGTGATTTGCTTTGAATCTGAACTTAGGAGCATCTCATGTCCTAGGAAATACGCCCTTTGTCCTTCTTCCCGGACATTTTAAAGAGTGTGTTTTTTCAGACCCTGCTTGTGGGTGCTGCCCCGAGTTCCTGAATCTTGTCACTGTGGCGATGTCTGTGGCACTGCTGACTGAAATGCTTGGAGGGCCCCTCACTCACACCGTCTCGCCGTGTCTGGCTGGGGCTGTTTTCTCCTGTCTCCCTGGATAGGGGCCAGGGGGTGGGTGTCAGGGGGCTTTGGCCGAGGCTGCTTCAGTTCCTAGAAGCTAATCACCACGCAGGCAATTCCCCTCCCCCCAGCACCCTTCACACATGTGGCCTCTTCCTCCACCTCCTCCCCACCTGGGCCCTGACCTTTGGCCATGCAGGAGGGCTCTGTGTGTCCCTACCCAGACTAGAATTCCTGTCTCTCTGTTACTCGGGCCTGGCGATCAGAGGAGCACCAACACATCTGTGAGGCCGTGGCCAGTGTTGTCGTGCGTGCCGCTTCCCAGGGTCTCAGCGCCGTTTCTGCACCCGCGTCCCGGAGAGAGCCCGGCCAGCGAGCAGGTCTCTGCTTTGCTTCCTGCTGTGGAGGAGGCTGTGGGCGGCCTCCCAGCAGTTAGAAGCAGGGCAAGGACCTGGCTTAGCCCATGAGTGGCTGCCAAGGGCTTCCTCCAGTGCAGTTAACTGTTCACTGGTGCAGGGTGGTCCTTGGCTAATGAAAACCTCTTTCTTCTTACTGAACATATCATTGAAAACCTCCTATGGGGGTGGCGGTGGTGGGTTTTCAGCTTCTAGGAGTCAGGAAGGATCAGATCGGTGGCTGTTGGTGGCTGTTCTTAAAGCCATTGGAATGACTGTGGCAGGCCGAATGGAGACAATGAAATCTGAAAAGGAGGGTTGCACGGAAATGAGTACCGCTGTGCTCCCTCGTCCCTGCTGGCTGCCGGCCTGGGCCCTTCATGTAGCTGAGCACTTAATACCGGACCCCAGAGCTGGGTGACGAGTGAGCCTAGAAATCCCCGCTCCGTGACTCGTCACACATGAGCTCCCTGGGACATCCCCTCTCTGAGCTTCCGTTTCCTCATGTGCAAAATAAGGTCACAGTTTTGTGTTGGGGGCCCGATGTGAAAGCGCCTGCAGAGCCCAGGCCTCGGCACAGAGCTGCCAGTGCTGGTGCTTGATAACCTGGCAGCAGCTTTCTAGGCTGAGTGATGATGCCCTAATTTTTCGGATGATGCCACTGAGGCTCAGATACATGAATAAGTTGCTCACGCTCGCATAACTAGTAAACAGCAGAGCTGAGGCTACGTCACACTGAGATCAAATCCCTGGCTCCTGGCAGCTCCTCTGTCTTCTGGCAGGAGGCCTGGTGCCCATCGTTCCTCCTCTGAAGATCACTGTAGCCCAGTTAACTGGGCTCGAAGTGACAGGAGACAATAAGTAACAGTGAATTAACTACAAGGCTTTTGCAGCAGCTTTGTTTACAGATGAGGAACATTGCCTTTTGAAGAGAGAAGAATGGAGTTGAAAGCAATGAGTGAACAAAATGATACTGTCGAAAATCACAATACAGTAGATAATATTGAGGGTCTGCTGGGACAGGACTGCATTTGTTCATCTGGGGTTGGGGTGCATGTTGGGCTGAGTTTAGAAACTGGTGCCTGTGTACAGTGTGCTTAAAAAATTTTTTTTAAGTTCTCGACATTTAAAAATGATGAGATTTTATGTTGAAATATGGATTTAAAGCTTTTCTTCAACATGAGGATCTGTGACTCTGAGCCCACATTTGCTGTTGACTGTGCCCTTAACAACTGAGATAGGGAGGGTTGTTTCTCAGCATTCCCGCTATTCTGACCTGAGATTTAGCAGTTTTCAAGCATAAACACCTCTCTGATGATAAGCCTCTGAAGTCAGTTTCCAGGGTGCAGAATGGTGGTTTCTGTCATTTCTGTCCAGTTATGAAGTTGCTTTCTAGGGAGAGGGTTTGTTAACTTCTCGCTTGGCTGTCGCCAGAAGCCCCTTATTTTTTGCTGTCGTCTTGATCTTGAGTGCATTCTTGTCTTTGGCGTGTGCTTGGAAGTTGGACCGAGTCCCAGGTGTTGTGTATGAAGAGTTACTGGAAGCTTGGAATGATGTTCTCTGTCTTCAGAGAGGATTCGCTCCTGCTGCTCAGGCAAGTAGGGCAGAGGAAGAGCACTTTTCTCCCGCCCAGGACTGAGCGCCTGCACTCCTGGGCGCCGCATGTGTGAGGGCTGATCTATTTCTGCTTTGGCCTTTTTGCCAGGACCAGTTATTTGGGGTTTCCAGCATATCTCCATTTCCCAGAGCTGCCGTAACAAACTTCCACACCTTGGGTGGCTCACAACAGCAGAGAGAAATTTATCGTCTCTTGCTTGTAGAGGCCAGCAGTCCGGAATCTAGGTGTTGGCACGCTAGGGTCCTTCTGGATGCCCTGAGGGCGAATGCGTTTCCAGTGCCCGGTGGTTGTCTGCCGTCCTTGGCGCCCCTGTTTGTAGCTGCTTCACTCCAGCCTGGGCCTCTGTCTTCCCATGACCTCTTTCTTCCCTCTGTGTCTGTGTCTCCGGATCCTCCCCTCCCCTGAGAAGAACAACAGCCCTGCGGGATTTAGCCCCGCCCTACTCCAGAATTACCCCAACTTAACTAATCACATCTGCAAAGAGGCTTTTTCCACCTAAAGTCCCATTCTGTGGTCTCAGACGGATAAGAATTTTCGGGGGACACAATTCAGTCCAGCCCACACTGGATCCCTGAGCTGTTTACCAGTTTCCATCCTCCTCCGCTGGTTCTAAGCTCTAATTCTTTTCCTTTCAGACCTTGTGGAAATTCTGAAAGCTTTGTTTAGCTTCTCATCAGACACTCTGTAGCCAGAAGAAGCCTCAAGGGTGAAGTAAGGCCCCGAATGTAGGACTCTGGCCTCTCGACTTCCCTTCTCTTTGGGATCTGAGTTCTTTAAGTCTTTCTTGCCTTTGTAGCAAGGTCCTCAGTTTTCAGTTAAATCACTGCCTAGCATTTTCAGTTGTTTTTGTGGGAGAGGTGGTCTGATCTGGGCTCCTCTTCCAAAGCTGAGAAAGTGGCCCCTTGAAGTGACACTTTCGCGTGTGCCTTTCCGTGTTGCTAGATCACCCCCTTCACGTGTGGGCATCTGGATTACTTTCCTTTAAGTCAGGCGCCAGGTTTTCCTTCTGTGATGAACTGTAGCCTGGGACAGGGGCTGCGTAGGCTGATTTCCTCCATTTGTGAGGTTTTTAGCCGGTACCTGTGCCCCCGCCCCCCGCCCCCCATTCCCTAGTTTGCTTGTCTGTTAGGTGTTTTTGTTTTGTTTGTCTTTGTTTTTGGCTTAGCATTCTGGGTTCATTTGTTTATTTTTTGACTTGGGGAGTTTTTACCCAAACAGCTCTGAGTTGTGAAATGTTGGTATGGCAGATGTGATTACAGTTATGCCACCAGCCCAGCTTTGTCTTGTCGACATTGTCCGTGGGTGTGGGACAGTGGCCATTCATTCCCAGCTGAGAGCCCCTTGAATAGATCGTGCGGACCCGTGGGTGGTCCAGGACCCAGAGACGCTTGGGATGAGGTTACCCACTGTGCCTCCTTTGGGATTTAAACCTTGGAAGTGAGAGCCTGCTTGTGTTTGGGGGAGCTGTTTCCTTTTTGATGAGGGGCTAGATTTATCTACACAGATGATTGATTTGGGGGTAGGGAGAGGGGAGCCCGCATTTTAGAGTCTGGGCCTGCATCTGTGTAACCTTCCCCTTGCAGTTAGGCAGGTTAGCGGGCATGATCACAGCAGGCGTTGGTGATTCCTCACACGGCGGTTCTGCCCCTTCTTTCTTGCCTAGAGAATTCTGGTTTTGTTCAGATGTCAGTGGCCAAGAGCTTCAGGCCTGAAGCTAGATGCGGGGGGAGTGAGCCCAGACCAGATGAGGCCAGCCGTAAATAATCCGCCTGCCAGTAGCTGCTTTCCGAACAGACACAAAACTCAATTAAGGAAGGAGAAGTCTGCCGTGGGCTTCAGAGGAAATTCCTTGCTACTTGGATGGAGACCTAAGAGAAGACTTATTTTATGGCCTTGGGTTGTTGCTTGGAACTTTGGAAGTGAGCTTGTGATGCAGGGGGACAAATCTGAGGACGAAGCAGCTCAGAAAGATGGAAAGTACCTGCCTCCTTAGTAGTGTCACTGAGCTGCTGAATTAACCAACTCTAGACCTGCCCTTCCTCTGGACTTAATGTTGTGTGTGGAATGAAACATTTCCTAATTTTTTTTTTTTTTTAATATTTTTTATTTATTTCTAGGAGAGAGAGAGAGAGAGACAGTGTGAGCAGGGGAGGGTCAGAGAGAGAGGGAG